TTCTTTTTTTTTTTTTTTTTTTTTTTTTTTTTTTTTTTTTTTTTTTTTTTTTTTGTGGCACCAGGGATCAAACTCAGGACTTGCGAGGCAGGCAGCAGAACCACTGAGCCAAATTCCCAGCCCCTCACAGCTTCTTTTCAAACCATGACCCCCAAATGTATGCTCCAACCTCAACAACTACTTGCAGTCTCCTGGCCTGGCAGGCTGATTGATACCCTTCTGGCTTTACTCTTACTGCCTCCACTAACAACAAGGAATGTCTCTTACTGCTACATTTGACAAACTATTCATCATGGACAGCACAACTGAAATATCAATGAAGCTACAGTGACCACCTGTCCATGTTGACCCGTCTAGTCTTCCTTCCTTTGGGGAACTTACCTATGCTCACTATAAACCCTTTGGGAATGTCATCCAAGGTTAGTCAGACATCCCAGCTCATCTCTACCACCAGGGCTTGCACACCGGCTAGCTTGGGCCCATTATACTACCTTAACTCTTTGCAAAAGTGAGTGATACCAAGGGTGGCTAAGAGTCTCAAGTATGACCAGTAAGGGATATTTCTAGGGAGTGACACAGGAACATTAGGAGGGAAACATCTTTCCCTTCCACTACAGTTAAACTGAATTGATGTACATCTGTGTGGCAAGCTTTCCAAGCCACAATAAGGAATGCATCTGCAGTATGTTAGAGAAAACGAGGTCAACCTGCAGGGAGAGGGAGAGCTAAAAAGCAGAGAAAACAGGATCCTCACTGGGGACCAGATCTACTTTCGCATGAAGTCAGAAAGATTCCTGGACTTCCTAATTTATGTTAATAAATCTTCCTTTTGCTCAAGCTAATTTGAGTGACGTTTGTGTCACTTAAAACTCAGAGTACTGACACATACAGAAGCCTTTTCTGATCCTTATCAAAGGGACCTCCTCACCCCCTCCTTTGTCTCCCCTCTTCATAGGCTGTGGATTTTTCTACATTAGTACCTTGAGTACTTTATAGCCTTATCTCTTGATACCTCTCTTTCTATCAAACAGTGGGCTCCTGGAGGACAAGCCTCTTGCCTGATGCATTTCTAAGTCCAGAGCATGGCATGATGAACATACATGTTAGTGCCTGCTGAGCACATCTGAATGAAAGAACTATCCCCTTAGCTCTCCTTTGATTTTGTTTCTGCTTTTCCATATACATATTCCTCGA